CAATGAATGGCGTTGCACAGATCCTATCCGTATTTATGCGATGCGTCGTGTATTCATGTGTATGAACTGGTCGTCAGCTGCCCCGATTGGTGAAGACCAAGTGTGTCCGGCGGCTGCTGGTGGTTATAGCTATTAGCTGCAGCTCTCCTATAGCCCTCTTCCACCACTCATTAGCCCGGCTATACAAGTTTCATTACAGTTTTACATGAATAACAAATTCAAAGCATATCGTTTGCTCTTTCAACGGATCGCAGTCGGTTGTTCATGGTAAAACTGAGTACTGAGTATTCTGTCGATACATTTGTTGATTTTGCTTGTTAAGTTGTTAGATGCTGTTTCCGCGCTGTGAGCCTTCGGCGTTTATACTGCCAACTGTGTAACTGTAGAGACCTTCACCTACAGAGCGTACCTCATTTCCTGGCCCCGGCTTCCTGAGGCAGTCCGTTCTGACCTTTGTGTTGACCCGTGTCCATTGGCCGCTGCGCCGCCGGCGGCTCCCCCAGCAGGCTGGCCAGGTGGCGCCGCTGCCCCCCGGCGTCCAAATCGATATCAGTCGCCGTGACCGGCCACGGGATAGTGCAGTTGGCCTAACGGCTTAGCGGGCTCCGTGTGCTGGGATTGCAGCGGCGACGATACCGGCGCAGGGGAGCGGCGCCGGACGCTGCGGCGCGGGGGAGCCAGCGGGTCAGCGGCGCGGGTGGGGGACGGGGGTGGGGGTAGCCAGCGGGTCAGCGGCTGACCGAGACGGGGCGACACCGGACGATGGTAAAACTGAATATGCTGAACGGGGATATAATGAGGCCTTAGTATTCCGTATAAGCATATTACCTTCCTTCAACACATGTGGTGACTCAATCACGAGAGTTCGGCTCAGTCTGTAGCCACCTTGTGAGTGGACGACCAGTGATTAATTAATTAGAAGCACTACTCCCGCTCACACAGGAGAACTCAATGCCGGTGCTGAGAGACAGCAGCCCCTCTCGGTGGTCCTAGAGCTTCCTATGAATAGAGAGTCGTGTGATGAGTCTGGCGACGCACTACACGCGGTCCACTTGAGCTAGGTCAGGCCCAGGGCACTGGAAAGCTGACCTGTTACACGACCTGCCAGCGCTGCTCCACCGACATTTAGACCGGACCCCCCCCCCCCCCCTACCAATTCATGCCTGGCCGTCCCCCAGAGTTGACAGGTCCAGTAGGATTGGGTGGGACGTCTTGTCACTGCAGACATGTTAGATGCTATAGTTTCGACTGGCGGAGCTCGACTTCACATGGTCTCTCAGGTCCAGCAGTCGAACTAAATGAACTTCAAGAAATCTGGGAAGCTTCCCCATGCCGACCAGACCTTTTCATGCCAATCGCATTGTTTTTAAATCAAATTATAGCATGCTGTAAGGTGCAAACATACTCGTATATATGTGGATCGCTTTGGTTTACCTCCTTACAACAAAAATATGTGCGCCGGAAATTGGCTGCACTATCTGGTCGCCACAGCCAATACGGCCGTGCTGTCGGTGTTCATTGTCTGCTCTCAGACCCATGAAGTGAATCATTCCAGTCATGTTTTATCGTGACGTTTAGGAATGACTGTGTTATAAAGAAGCAAAATGACTCTTGAATGGTTGCTTACTAAACCAATTTTCAGTACCTATACTGGTCAATACCATACAGGACACAGGTAAAGTGCAGCGCAAAACTGGTGTGACTGTAAATGTAAACCTACACATGGCTTAAATTACGTCACTGCAGAACGAGTGCATATGTACCTTACTGCATCCCTGATTGATACGCACTGATAAAAATGCTGGTTAGGAACGAACTGGTTGGAGGTTGCATCCCTCACGTGTTCGCTTCAGCAGTTGGTTTATTGTTTTAATGACGGGAAAACAGGGCCTTTATATAAATGTCAATGTGCTTTACGTAGCTGTGTGCGAAATCTGAGCTTAATCGGTCCACCCATTCTTGAGATACCATCATGCTATTTTAAAATCATCCTCACACCCCGCGCACACGCACTAGTCTTTCAACCCCCCCCCCCCCTCCAACCCACCCCATCGGGCCGTAAAGTAACCCCGATCGGTCTGGTGAATGGTTCCTGCCGAGTTCAACGAATGAGGCTATGGAACGCTCAAGACATGGATGTTTTATGTTGCTTTGATTCTGCCGTTGTTAATTAGCATTTACATGAAGGACCATGGTGATCACTGATCATGTTCAGATTCGTGTGCCCAGTCAAGTTGCGCAGAGGTTTATGGCTTATTCGCTCAACGTCTCGTGTTTTTTTTTTTTACACCAATCCTACGCATGATGTGAGTTCTGGTTAAATATCACAGCAACATGAGCTACCCATACGTGCACCAACGCTCTATTCCCACCGATTGCCTGTCTGCTATGACTAAAGGAAGGTCTCAAACGCAACGCACATGCAATTACTGCCCGACTTTCCATCAGCATTTGTAGGTGGACTTGCTGACAGTGACAGCATACCGGGTGTCCACGTCAAAAGTGTACCCAGACTTTTCTCCATATTCTATCTTAAAAACATCACACTCATGAACAATTGCCCTTATTTGAGAGCCAAGGCAATGGCAAAACATTTGCTATGCTTTTCAACTGTGCTCGACACTCTGCTGACCAGCGCGTGCCGTCTAGAGCAACTGCTCTATATGAGCCCCTTTGCGTCGGGCCACCGCCGGCAGACGGACCGTCTGGAGGTGGGTGATCGCCTGGTCAACCATGTGGGAAGGAAGGCGACGGATCTCGTCTCTGATGGCGTCTTTCAGCTCCTGGGTCGACCCTGGATTGCCGGCGTACACACAGTCCTTGAGAAAGCCCCGCAAGAAGAAGTCTATATAGGGCTGAGGTCGGACGAGTGGGGAGCCCATTCCACCGCGCTTTTCAAGCTGACGTGGTGGTCAGGAAAGTGCTCCTCCAGGAATTCCAGCGACCGTTTGGCGGTGTGAGGCGGCGCCCCGTCCTGTTGAATTCATTCTTGATGGCGACGGATCCCGCGTCTCCGCTTCAGCTCTCGCCAGAATGGTTCCAGTGCCGCCGAGACGTAACGTTCTAGCGTTACGGTGTTGTGTTTGTCGCTCCCCTGTCGTCTTCGAAAAAGAAGGGGCCGATAATGCCCCCTCCATGCCTCATTGCCACCCAAACCGATACTTTCTTGCTGTGCAGAGGCATGGTCTGAACTTTTTCTAGGCGATGGGATCCCCAGTGCACGGGGCATTGTGGGATTTCACATGCCACGGTCCGTCTGCCGGCGGTGGCCCGAAGCAAAGGGGCTCATATAGAGCAGTTGCTCTAGACGGCACGCTCTGGTCAGCAGAGTGCCGAGCACAGTTGAAAAGCATAGCAAATGTTTTGCCATTGCCTAGACTCTCAAACGAGGGCAATTGTTTGTGAGTGTGATGTTTTTAAGATAAAATACGGAGAAAAGTCTGGGTACACTTTTGACGTGGACACCCTGTATTCATTAGACAGTATACACATTAGCTACATGCTGTATCGTCCCTTCTCTAGCGATATTGCTTGTGAGTTGTGGGCTTTTTCACGAGCCTCCCTCGGTTATTCGCTATTGAGGACGAGGTTTTACGATGTCGTGAAACTTTCCATCGTATGGTGTACGAACCAAAAGCATCGTTTCGAAGCAGGTATATTGCGGACTACGCTAAAACTGCCCATGTAATGAACCCTTCGGAGATGCATTACCATGCTGGCAGAACAGGCCGCATGCACTTGGGGGTATACATGGGGGAGTAGTAGCTCATGCCTATTGTTGTTGTTACGTTAGGGAGGGTCGGAAAGCTGGCCATTTCTTGACCAACCGAAAGGTTGAGATGTTGAGTTGAACAGTGGATCCAATTGTATCGGACATTGTGGTCGAGTCCGTCAGGAGGGCGCGCCCTTGACGATCCAGCCTCTGCGACTGCTGGCCCCATGGATCTGAGAGTCGTGGCCATCCAGTGGCCCCCCTGTATCTCTCGGCCGCTGATTTGAGGGCCGCGGTATGAGCCGGCCCCTGGAGGTGGCCGGCGGAGCTGATAGGAGCGGCTGCACGGCACCGGTGGGGCGTCTCGGTCATATCAGAGTCGGCCGCCGACAGACGCCCCGACCCTGAGCTGGGGCTATTGATCCCGGCGCGTCAGTACGTCTGGGCATCAGCCGCCGCGGCGGCCGGGGCGAGCACGGGCGCAGTTCAAATGTGCAAACCACGACAGGACTGAGTGTGTCACTCTGGGCATCAGCACTGTGTTCAGTGTCCAGGAGTTCCGACTGCCACCTTAGGCAGAAGCTCCATGACATTATGCCTAAGCTGACAATCACTATATTCCGTCGGTTACTAGTTTCGGTGTTGAAACTTAAACTTAGTTTTTATATCACTTTAAAGGGACCCTCCCACCTTAACATTAGTTTTGAGTTGAGATAGCCAAGTTTGCGGCCAGGCTCAGAAACCACCATTTATCCTGGTCGCAACCCCCGCAGCTTTATGGTGTTCAAGAAATTTCTTCCCTTTACTTGCAGGGTGGGACCAGCGTGGTCCCTATCTCTTAACCATTACGGGAATCTGATGACGTCATCAGGCTTTCGAACGTCCGTTAAATGTTTGACTAAAACGTTTTGTAGCACGCGGTGGTATATGCTGCTTTGCGCGCAACAAATGCCGCACTTTCAAATAAAGTCGCTAGGAACAGCGGAGATCCCAAAAAGTAAACAAAAGTAAAAGTCTAATGTCTTGAAAACCGGTGAATATTTTTCGATGAAATTTGGTAGATATTCGTTTTTGCTCTTTCTGAACCGAGCGACATCACTTTCATGCCAATTCATTAACTTTTTTGAAGGTGGGAGGGTCCCTTTAATGCATGTTCGTAGTTTTTTAAGATTTTTTTTTCTAGACCACCTTCCATCGGGACTGTTTCAGACCTGAAACACGAACACTGGCTGTAGGTCTCACAGATCTCACTATTCCGACGTGTGACGCATCTCGTCCCTCTCGACAGGCTCGCCGGCCGACAAGGCTGACCTGGAGGTGGGCGACGAGATCCTGGAGGTCAACGGCAGGTCACTGGAGAACGCCACGCACACCGAGGTCATATCGCACATACACCAGGTGGGTGCTCCAGCAGCCGGCCGCTGGGAATGTACAAACGGAAAGGTCGCCCATATGTTTGTGTGTCACATCTGTTCCATTCCATTGTTTTGTGTTAAACGTTTGTGTATTTTTCTTAATTTTACGAGTAGATTTTAACCGACTCACATCATCCCACTGATCATCCATCCTGGTTATGAAACAGGTAAACAAATAAGCGAGCTTCATACCATGACATCTCTGAGACATTTTAAAACCACCTATTCAATTGATGATTCTTTTGAAGGAAAGCCCGTCACGATGCTGTTTAGTCCTCGTCTGCCGAGGGGAGAGGTTCATGGGCGCGGGAGCCGGGGGGCAGTGGGGGCAGCTTGCCCCCCTAACTTTAGGGCCGTGGGGGCGGTGCCCCCACAACTTTAAGACGGAATACCGCACTTTTTTGCAAATGTTTTCTTTGTTGTTGAAAAAGCCAAGGGATGAAAAATAAGTGGCCTAAAACCGGCGAGAAAACTAAATTTGGGGGTACCCTAGGTTGATCTCTATCATGGTGTGCCCCCCCCCCCCCCCAGTCTGAAAGTAGTTCCCGCGCCCCTGGAGAGGTTTGTTGCAGGGATGTGGAGCCGTGGAAATTTCAGACGGCTCCGGCTCCGGATCCGGCACCGGAGAAAAAAATCGGCTCCGGTTCCGGGTGAAATGCCATGGCGGCTCCGGCTCTGGCTATGGCTCCGAGTAAAATGGTCCGGCTCCGGCGGCTCCGGCTCCAGCTCCGGCTCCAATACTCAGTACATCCCCTATGCAATTAAATACGGGTGGAAGAAAAAAGACGATGGGATTGGTGCATGTTGCTTCTGTATTTGCATAACAAGGGTATTTTCAAATTTTGAATACCGCATGATTTACTGCCTTGAACTGTCAAACCAAACCAGGTCAATCATTTTTTTTCCTGTTCAAAAAAGAGGAGCCGAAGTCTCCTTGTTGACGGCTCCGGCTCCGTCTCCGGGCTATATTTTTCACGGCTCCGGCTCCGGCTCCGGGCAAAATATGCCGGCTCCGGCTACAGCTCCGGCTCCGGCTCCGTACCCCTGGTTTGGTGCCACCACCTGACGGGCTCCTCGAGATTGCTCAGAGCGCGTTAGGAGCTGAAAGTTTGGTTGCCTAACCCTTCAGTGACACCGGGTCTTGATACACCAATTGCATGTTTAGGTTAGGTCACTGACCTATAACTCCTAAAGTGAGCCTCTGCACAGTCTAAAAATGTTGCAAATTCGTGGCACCCTCTTTATCAGGGAATCTCTCACAGAGGGATAAAAGTGACAGGTCCCTACATTTAAATTTCTCCTTTTTATGAGGGTTTTCTGAGTTTAGGTCAAGGTCGCGTGACCTTATCATTTTGAGTCGATGGGAGAAGTAGAATATTCGTATGTTTGTCCCAGAAATGACAAAAAATAGTATACCTTCTATTTGACACACCTGGGCGACGGCGAACACAATGGTGCCAAAACCGCGGTGCTGCGACATTTATGGCAAGTTATTCATTGCCCAAAACCCGATCCCCACTTTTGGGCTTTTGGCCTATAACATCAGAGAAAGGGGCGAAACGGCGAGGATCGGGGTGGTCGCGTTCCCCTTCCCGTCGGCCAGCAGGACGCACGCATGTTTTGAAAACCAAACGTCCAAAACGTGAAATCTTACATATTCTTAAAATAACAAGTGTTTTAAGTGTTTTGTGTTAAAAATAACAAGTAAAGTGTATTTAAAACTGTGCCTACCTACCTGGCAGTGACATAGGGGAAAGTGGGGTAAGACGGGCACCCTTACCTTGGAGCCATTTTTCGGCCGGTTAGAAACAACATAGAGATGCGAAACTGAGTGAAAACCTTTGTTAGACATTTTACTTTCATTTGCCAGAATATGAAACTTAGAGCTGATGCAACAAATAAACTGAACCTATTGATGGTGTGAAGTGCTTTAGCGAGGAACATAGCGAGTATCTAAATGCGTGAAGAATCATTGATCTTTTCTTCGAAGAAGTAAAAACAAAGCCAAAAGTTATATTTGATGGGGTGAGCTTTCGGCTACATGCCTTCGTTAAACCAAAAAAATGGCACGATACAAAATACAAAATATGGTGTATTTTGTATCGTGTCATTTTGTTGTATCGTGTTCTTTTGTAGCGGGGCAATTCCATGACAGATCACCTAGGCATGTTCACCATGGCCTCTCCAATTTTGCTCAAATTTGGCATGCGAGTTGACCTATGGGCACTACTACGTCACAGTGAATTTCTAGTCTCTAGGTCACAGGGGTCATGAGATATGGGTCATGCAAATTTTAAGGTTTCCCGGAATATTGAAATATAAAGTATTTTTTATCTCTGCAACGGTTTACCGGATCAAAAAAAAGTTATATTTGAAATAATAAGCGCATAGTTAGGCTGGTGCGTCTAGCAAAAATGTGAACGAAACCCCAGCCCCCAGGGTCATTTTCGCTCGACGTGTCACTCGTCGCTGCCTGGCTCACTGACGCCATTCAACACTCATGCACATCTCACAGTTTCCTTAGAATCCCCGCCTGTCTCTGTTTTGGATAAGCATACAGCCAGCGACTCTGCCAGTCTGTTGATTTTGTTTGTGTTGGCATTATCTGCAGGTGTTCTTCCTACAAATAGAGTACGGTGAGCAGGCTGAATTGTTTTCACGGGGCGGGCGCCGGCCGTTCGGCACGAGTGTTTACCGTTGGTAGCCGGCTGTCGGACGGAGAAGGGCCGCCGCCAGCCGCCGGCCGCTGTTTGGGACGCCATCAATATTGACACGCCGCCCCGGCGATGGTGACGGGCCCGAGAGGTGGCACCGCTTCACCCATCCTCCGGCGGCGGCCGCTTACGTGACTGAAAACGGACAGCCGGCCGGCGCGGCCATCCGGCGCGAGATCAGGGATCAACAGTCGCCAGACCAATGGACGGATGCTTCCTCCGCTACCGCCTAATCCCCGTCGGGCCGGGGTGTTTGAACACCCCTCCTTGCAATCTTTCACAGATATCTTTAAAAAACGGTGCGTTTTCATGCATGTTATCTGCTTAAGATTTGCATCGCTGGTAACTGTCATTTGGTATGTACCGTTTTTGTTTCTGTAGCTTCTTTATTTACGAAGTTTAGACGGAGGGGGGGGGGCGAAAAAGACCCGTGGGCTCTGGTAGTCGGGATTACCCACGGGCTGTTTTACACGCTTTCAAGTAATCGCGGAAAACCGTCTAAGGGTCGCACTATTCGTGTGGTCCAAAGATAATCAAATATCCGATCAGTAGGGGCGGAACACCTTATATTCAATTAAGGGGGGGGGGGCACTGCCGACTTTTGGTCCGATTCTTTCCATGCAACGCCCATAGGGCTAATGTTAAAATGCAAAAATCAAAGGGGGACACGGTGCCCCGGTGCCCACCGCCTATGCATGTGAATGGTGTTGGTCCCATGCCTTATGGTGGGTGTCAAGGTCAAGTGAAGTTCAGGTCAAGGCCATTGACTCTTGATGACCTTGTCTCACTTTATCAAGTTCACATGTTTTCATGGTAGTTTTTGGAGCTGATTTCGAATTAGATACTCATTTCAACATTGACGAAGTAGTTTAAATGCATTCCTAACATGTTACGAAGCTGTTAGTGGTGGTTCACTCTTGACATCTTCTTTGAATAGCCAGCAAAACGCCTACTAATTGACCTGACAGTCTGACCTGACAAAACCCGTCCTGGCCGTAATACATACCTATAGAAATTAGACATCATCTATGCTTAAAACATAATGAAATATATGACAAATACGATTGACTCCGAAGTGTTTTTTTTTTTTCGTTAAAACATAATGTAAAATTCGTGATCAGCGACTCGACATAACATGCCTAACAACCTCACACCACGAGGTAGGCCCTGATTTTCCCGACTTTTGGGTCATTGACCTGACCTGAAAGGTCAACCAATGACAATGACCTAGGACCATAAGGCTGGGTATCATCGGCGCTTCTTCTCGTCACGGGCAACACGCTCGTTTTTTTTCGCGAAGCTCTTTACTCGATCAGGGGTCGAACGGCAGGGGTCCAACGCCCCCCCCCCCCCCATACGTTAGACGCTGGCAAAACACCAACACAGACGAGGGCTAACAAACCAAACTGTTTAACCTGTAGCTTATATAGGTATAATGTATTAGTACTAACTGTGATATGATCTTTCGTTTCAGTGTATACGCTCAAGGACAATCTGTTTACGAGTGAAGCGGAAAGCGGGCAATAAACTCGGTGAGTATTTCACTCCATCCATGCTGATTGCTGATATGAATGTAATATTCACTGACGGATCCCATATTTTGACAAAGATAACGGATTCTGCGAGTGCGAACCACCTACATATAGTGCGAGGCAGCGGCAGAGACTGTTCCAGTGGGATGGGAATGTCGCGATGGGACAGCCCTCTCCGCATGAGGGGCGGTAACACCGAATCTGCACGGAGGGGGGGGGGGCAGGAGGAGGAGGTTCCTCTATCTGGAGGAGGTTCCAATTTTCCCTCTTGGAACGAGAACGTCCCCTAATACTGTGTCAGTCAAAAGAGGCCAACTGAGACCTGTGTTGTCGAGAGGTCCTTGTCAGCATCTGGGAAATATCGATGTTGCAGCTTCTCGCTCCGAGAAGGCCCCGGTTCTGAAGCCTGAAAGCTGGAAAGGCTCCTTGTCTACCCGGGTGAAACTTCGTGGTAACAGAAGGCCACTAAAGCCTTTTTTGCGACAGACTATGCACAAATGGCCCGCTGCTGGGCGCCCCCTCTTCGTGCGATGCCTCCGGGAAGCTCTGTCCCTCCTGGACAAAATCCGTGGCGCTGCGGCTGCCGCCCTGCCGCTCAAGGGTATTGGAGAGGGCTTATATAGAGGGCCTATATACCGGAGAGGGTATTGTCCTAACGAGGACTTTCCCTCACCACGGGCTATCTGGAGGAGGTCTACTGGTGAAATAACGCAGACTCCTCCCCGCCACCTCCATGCTCCCCGAGTTCTGAGCCATGCTCCAGGCCAGGGTGGCTGCTCGGAGCTTTCGCTGTAGGTGGCGTTGTACATTTTCTCGTCAGAGGTCGCAGGCATGGGTACACCTAGATGTCGCCCTCGGCTGGGGCAATGCATCAGCTCGGTCCAGAGGCCCTTCGCGGCTTCGCCTGCCTAACCCGCGCCCCGCTGGGCTATTCAGCCATACGCGCCCTGCTGGGGGGGGGGGCAGATTCTGCCCCCCCCCCCTGTCTAACTTCCGAACCGATGGTCGTAGAAAGACGGGGAAAACGGCAATCGAAAGCTCTCATCAAGGCGGATCTTCAGAGCCCAAATTTTTTTGCTTAAGTAGGTCAGAGGTCAGGTCAAGGTCAGGTCAAGGGTACAAAATGCAAGTTTCTACAGTATCGGCCTTGCACCGTAGTTGCCAAAGAATGGACTGAGACTGATTGCCCAAAACGTGTTCTTAGACTACCAAGACAATATTCGTTGCATACAATGTCATTCAAAGGTCAAGGTCAAGGTCAGGTCAGGTCAGGTCAGGTCAGGTCACCAAAAACAAAATATAGAAAACGGCATGTGCGACACATGTTTTATGAGTCATTTTACTCATAGAATGCAATAGGCACACACAATAAGTGATATGGACCACCTCTGGATGAATTTCAGGTCGAGGTCAGGTCAAGGTCAGGTCAAGTGAGGTCAAATTTTGAAGTTGGTTGTTAAGGCCTAAAAAGGTGTCTATCTGATGCAGTTTTTCACGGCGAATCGAATGGTGCTATTTTTGTTTCCGTACGAGGTCTAGAACTTCCAAATTTCAAAATTTTTGTGTGTCATGACGTCATAAATTTTTGAATAGCTCCCACATTTTTGAACCGATTCTTCTAAAAATTGGTATGTAGGTGCACATAGACCAGTTCTCTGACATATATTCCGGTTTTATCGATACACTCAAAATTTTGGATTTTATAATTATTTTCCCAAAAAAGTCAGTTTTTTTTAAATTTGGGCCTAAATCCAAAATTTTTAAAAAACCGAGATAGCCATTTGATAGACAAAGTAGAATCACGTGTAACATTTTTTGTTACGTCTTGATTCCTTTAAAAATGAAGATGTTAGCGGCGTTTGAAATTTTGCCGTTTTTGAGGCGAAAATTGCGAACATGACGTCACTAAAACGTCAATTTCTCAAAAACTTTTTTAAGGATTTCGCTCAAATTTTCAGAGAACGTGTCAAATTGATGTATGATAAGGTACTGAAAGTTTGACGTCGCTGGCGTAACGCGTTTAGAAGTTATTGGCGAAAAAACGGGAGGGGGGCAGATTCTGCCCCCCCCCCCCCCAGCGGGGCGCGGGCTAACTTCGTGGAACTTTCAAGCTTTAAACCTTCCCGCCCGGCCTACAGGGAGATGCCACCCACTCGCCACGGTTTTCGGGATCGTTCGAAACGTTTGCTTTAGGTGACAAAGAGCTGAAGTTTTACTGACATGATTTGTACCTATTCAAGTAAGATCTTTTGGTTTCCCGTCTGCATTTGCATTGTGTAGCGTTCAGGTCAGGCAAGTTCACTCACCTATGAGGTCATATATGAACTCTTGCTCTTAACTCTTGCACGGTGCAAGAGTATGGTATGTTTGCAACACTCGTCTCCGTGCTAGGGAATCGTTAGCAGGGAGATGCAACTTTCAGGAAGTACGTAAACGCTTATGACTCCTTACAACTCACTTATATCTTTTTCATAAGAGTCATCTTTGGACACGGCGCGCAACGCGGCGACTTAGCACCTAGCTTAGGATGCATCAATTTCGCATTTTTTGTGAGTGTTTGCCTTTTGGAGGTAAAAGTGGAAGTTTTTGTTTGATTTATCACATCGAATCAGCTAATTCACTACAGCAGACCACTCGTTGACCCCAGGTCAAATCTGAGAACATTGCTCAAGAAGAACTTCGGAAGAGCTATCGAATGCGCTTCTCTGCCGCGCTGTAGCCTGCACATACCTAGGTCTATTCGTTCCCGAGCTAGGTTTTCGCCTTTATGTGAAGAGTCGTCAAAATCGGGAAACAATATTCGTGATAATTTTACTTTTGGTGACTTCCAGTGACCTCAGCGATGACCTGATCGAAAAGTTGCCTTATTGATTCTGTATGGTCTTCTAGAAAGCTTCTAGTCTTCTAAAGTCTTCTAGAAAGTAGTTTTGGACCTTTTATGCGTCTCATAAGCTTTCTTACTTTCCGAGATAGCCTGGTGCTCGCATACGCTCCACCTCCTCCCCCTCCCCCACGGCAAGTTGGCTGAGACCCTCACCCGGGCGCGGGTTACCTATATTTCGCTTAACCTGCGCCCTGCTGGGTGGGGTGAGGGGGAGGGGCGTTTTACGTTTCCCTCACGCGAATATCTCAAAAGCGCCGCCGTGCTTGTCACACTTAGGTATCATACATATTTTCTGCAATGTAAAAATTTCAGGCCCAGGTCGTTTAATATCAGGTCATCAGCCACCAGGCACCAGGTCACACCTCAGAAACAGTTCCAATGTTTGCCATAACTTTCTACCTATACCGACCGGCGACAGACTGTCGCCAGCTAGGTGTAGGTAGGTGCTGAGTGTTATATAGGTACCGACTAACGCATTGCTTCGAAACTTTTCGCAGTTGATAAGGGCAACAGTGCCTACTGCCTGTGTATAAAATATAGGTACCTAGAGGAAAGTGGGGTAAGACGGGCACCTTAACTTTGGAGCAATTTTTCGGCCGGTTAGAAATATCAGTAGAAACGGGAAACTGAGTGAAAACCTTTTTTAGACATTTTACTTCCATTTGCCAGAAGATGAGACTTAGACCTGATTCAACAAATAAACTGCAGCTATTTTGGCAAAACCTTGCAAAAACCCGTCTTACCCCACCCCATGGGGTAAGACGGTCACATGGGTAGGGTAAGACGGCCAGCTTCTTTCACCGACCAGCACAGCTCGCAACAAATGCCCGAGATTAGCCGCATTGATACAGTCGCTCGTTGGTCTCAAGTGCTTCGGAAATGGCAGTATACGAGATTCGTGCAGAAGGCGTATGCTCGCATATACACCCTAGTTCAGAAGCCTCGTAGCGTCGTTTTTCACATTCATTATTCGAGAATAAACTGTGCCGAAGGAATATTGCTAGCATGTCTGTGAGTATCGGAATCGAACACAGGGGCGTAGCCAAGGGGGGGGGGGGGCCATAGGGGCCATGCCCCCCTCCCCTGGAGCCCAAAAGGGCCCCATCGCGGTGTCATAAGTACGGTAAGGGGCACAATAAAAGTAGCGTAAGGGCCCCTCGGGGCACTCCACTGGGTTCGCGGGGGCCTTTCGGGCCTGAGACCTTGTCGCTATAGGGCCCTCTGGGCTCTCTTCATTGGTTATAAAAGGGCCCTTCGGGCCTGAGGCTTTGCCACTGGGCCCCTCGGGGCCCTCTCCATTGGGTTCGCAGGGGCCCTTCGTAATTTTAAGGTAGTTAAGCTAATAACTACGTCATGAAATTAAGAAAATGTTCGGCCCCTTCGCCCACATGAGCCCCTTTCGGTTTGATTGCCCCCCTCCCACCTGAAGAAAATCCTGGCTACGCCCCTGCCCTTAGACGGCTTACATGACCCTCAGACGGCTTACGAGGCTCTCATGGGCTGTAGGGGCCTTTGGCGGTCTGAAGGACCCTCATCCGACCTACGGGGCCCTCAGAACCGGCTGAGCGACTCTATGAAGCTATTCGTGGGCCTATCTAGCAGGGACCCATGGACTGCTTGCCCCTCATTTGTAACACTTTTTTCATTTTTTAAATATTTTTTTTAAATTTATTTCTGGCCCCCTCCAAAAAATAGTGAATGAAATCCGATGGCTTTTTGGATTTTGAGGGGGTTTAGGTACCTTGGGCCCCTGTAAGTTTGGCCCCCTCCTGGAGGAAATCCTGCATACGCCCCTGATCGAACATATTCTTATTAGAAATGCTTCTTTTTTTACTACAGCAACAAAAATATTTTCACCATTACAGACCCATTGGATTCATAGTTGCCCGTCTTACCCCAAACTCAATGTCAGAACGATTTTTCTCTGTGGACAATTTGATGCAGACAAAGTAAGTCCGCGGTAAATGAACACTGGTGGCATATGAGTGTACCACAAGTGATTGCGAGTTTTTAACTCTATAACTCTATAGTTAATTATATATTAACTCTATAATAGTTATAGTAGGGGAGAACGGGGTAATTTGGCCGGTGGTGTAAATTGGCCGCCCCCACCTGT